AATATTTTTTTATCTAATCAATTGTTCATGTTGGACAAATTCGGGTTTCCCCAAATTCTCTAGCGACAAAAAACCTAACTCTCTCAACACTCAAATTTTGGCGAATCCGTCTTCTTCGGCGACAGTAAAGCTCAGCCAAAAGTCATCCTCAAATGTTCGTTGTCCCCCTGGTGCAACGCGCCCTTATTTCACCTTCAGATGGTCCATTGACGAGGAGTCAGGTTCATGGTTGCAGATGGAGTTCCGGACGGCGGTGACGCACCTTGAAGTTGAAGCAAGGCCGGAGATCGGAATCTTCTTTCTAGTCATCGAAGGAGACGCGATTTGTGATGGTAAGCCCCGTTTTTCTTCCCTCTGTCTGTGGGTGCCGGACTTGGTTGTTTCCGGCGGAGCTTCACCCCTTATGCTGGGGTCAAGTCGTTTGTCGTTGGCTGTCTGTGGTGGTGATGGGTGGTGTGCGTGGAGTCGGGTGGGGCGGGACCCTAGTTACCGCGTCGCTCCTTGTTGAGGTGGTCGGGGGGCAGGCTGTTTTTCGTTGCTCTACTCCCCGTCGACTAGTGGTGTTAGGCGGCGAGGGAGGTTGCAATCGACCTCGTCTAGTGGTGTTAGAAGAGTTCGGATGGAATTGGAGTGGGATAGACTATGGCTCTCTCAGTTTTGGATGGGTTGATTCGGAGACTGGTTCGGGATTTGGGTTCAGCTACTGTATAGACTTGATTGCAGTTTCGGTAGTAGTTGCTTAGTCTGGATTGGTCTTGTGTCGATCGTTCACTTCTGGTCTGAGATTTCTCGTTCGCTGGGGAAGGGCTTTTAGATTTATTTAGTTGTTTGTGTTCTTGTTTTGTTCTTGTTATTGTATTGTGCGTGTTTTGTGTTTTTGGTTTTGGCCATTGGCCCCTGTGTGCCCGAATGTCAACCTTATTATCCTGTTGGGATCCGACACTCGGGTTTTACCCTGTTGGGGTCTTTTTTTAGTTGTTTTAGTTGTGTGAGTAGTGGGTCTAGTATAGTTGTGAGTTTTGTTTTCTAGCGTTACTAGTCGGGATCCTAGGCGGTCTTCTGACCTATCCTCCCACTTTTTTCAGCTGTTGGCTGTTGTATATTCAGCTGTTGGCTGCTGTGTATTTGCACATATGTGCCTTTTAATATAACTGTAATCGATATAAAGATTAATATGTAAGTTAATAGTTAAACATTCATTTTTATTAATGATAAAATTTATAAAATGTGATGTTATTATCTAACTTATGATTTTAAATATTACATATACATACATATAACATATAAAATTTTATTTGCATTTGTGCATGTGCACAGGATCGAATGTTAGTTGTGGTAGATAGTGAAGATATTTTTACCAAATTTGACATTATTGTAGATCTACAATAATGTCTCTTTTTTTAAGAGTGAAAAGAAGCAAAAATTCATGAGAATCTTATCAATGGGCAGCATGATTTGCATGTAAGGCCGACATTCTTATATGTGTTTTTCGGCGATGAGTGTTTCTTATTTTTCCAGTGTACACCATTTAAGACGAAAGCTTCAAATGAAGAACGGTTAAAGAATGCTTACTCAACATAATTAATCCCTAATTAACACTCACAACTAAACTGTGAAATAAATCTAACTCAAATAATTAATCCCTAACTAACACTCATAATTAATTAATCCATAATCCCCATTTCACAACCTCAAAACTGTCAATAGTGTTGATTTAGAACCACAACTAGTCCCCAATCCCAAATCAAGAAACAAAATTTTCCTTAATTCCCAAGCTGCATACCCTAAATTTGCATCATGATTCTCCCAGAAGCAAAGGCAAGCAGGCGAGCGAGCACCCAATCAATTTGAGACGTGACGGGGGTTTTGTTTTCTCCTCACTGTGTGCGCTTGTGCGAGAGATAAGACTAGTATAATTTGTCTCAATATTGAAGACGAGAACTTCAATCATCAATGCCATTTTTGGATGTAAATTTGATGAGTTATTGGAATAGTTTAGTTTGGAGGAAGAGAATTCTGAGAAAAGTGCAGGAGGAAGCTTGAAGATGAATGCCAGAGTCAACGTAATTTCTTTATTTTCATGGAGTTGGTAGGATGGCACTTTAGTAATTATTTGACCATATAAGAGTGTAGTTGTCCAGNAACAAGGATATAAAAGTCCATTGACAATGTATATATTTTGGGCGTGTTTGATATGGTAGATTAGATAGGATTACCCTCTTTTATCAGCCCTAGTCCGTCGTTTGGTTTCCTGGTTCGGCCCGTAAGATTAGACAGAGCCCGAGATTAAAGCAGTTTTATCTTGGATATTGCGTATTATTTGATCTGTTCTCGTACATGAGATTCACTCAATCCCAACAGTGTCTATATTGTCTAAAGTCCATTTTGACCCTGACATTTTACATTTGGGTCTAAATTAGCCTCCACAGACCGAAGAATTACAAATAGCCAAGTATAAAAAGGACCAATCTTCCTCTTCGCCCCCACACTGTCGACCCAGATTTGTGAGTAGGGTTTTGAAGTGACGAAATTCACTGCTTTCTTCTGCTACTGCTACTGCACGGTTTTGAAGTGACGAAATTTCAGTACCATTAACAGGAACAAGGGTCATGTAGTCGTTATTGTTTTTTTTTTTTTTTTGNGCATAGGTTGTTCGTAAAACCCTAATTTCTCTATTTTTTGGGTGTAGTGATATTACGAGCGCGTTTGGTCGTGTGCTTTGCGAGTCACGGACTTTTGTCATTCCTTTTACCGTCATCCTCGCTCATCAGTGGTAATTCAATTAAGTAAATATTTTTTTTTCCATAACAACCATTAAATTCCGGCTATTAGACAATTGTGGGTCTGTTTCGAATAGTAAAGATTTACCATACCTTTTTAATTTGCAACTGAAAGTGAGACTTCTATGTATGTGTTGTTGTTGTTTGAAATGCCGATGTTCTTATTTTGTACACTGTTGTTTGGATAAGGCACCCAAATTGTCATAGTTGCAGGTTTGGAAATGAATATGTTATTTGCTGAAGAATAAGAAATTACAGAAGAATTTAACATGTACAGTTTTCATAAATTACTTTGATTCCTCTGCACTTACACTTTTTATAGATTCGAATTGTGCAAAGGAAAGGTGTTTGCATTTTACTTCACCTCTGAGATGGATAAATATATATTTTTTTTTACATCATCAGCTTAAGCATAGCCATAAGTTCTGAGGAGGCGGTAGTATTGTTGCTTGTTGAAGAGATAATTAATCTACGTAATTTGGTTTTTATCTTTGCCTACCTTTACATTAAGTTGGTTGTTCAACCTAGATAACATCGTAGAGTTAGACGTCGGCTCGGAAATGCATCATATCGTATGTCAGACCGTCTACCCTCTCAAATTCAACACATGAAAGTGTTAGTAGAAATAAGTGACAAGACATGCATTGAACAACTTCGCATGGATCAAAATAGCTTTGGCCGGTTATGCTTCTTGTTGGAACATATTGATGGGCTCCAAAACAGAAGAAACATACCAATAACTGAGCAAGTAGCAGTGTTTCTTAGTGTGCTAGCTCACCATAAAAAAAAAAAAAAAAAAAAAAAAAAAAAAAAAAAAAAAACCGTGTAGTGAAATTTGATTTTACAAGATCCGGTCGAACAATAAGAAAATTCTTCCATAATGTACTACGTGACGTCTTACGTTTGCACCCCATCGTCATTGTCCAAAGTACTGCTGTAACCGACTCATGCACCGATTGGAGATAGAGATGGTTTAAGGTGAGAACAACAATACCCACAATTTGTTGATACAATTATTCTATTACTCTTACTACACTTACTACTTTTTACAAGTTGTTCTTGTTTTGTATTAAGTGACAGGGATGCTTAGGAGCCTTAGATGGAACCTATATTCCGATGCGTGTCCCTGCACGCCTACACCTAGGATATCAAAACAGAAAAAGTTTTGTATCTGTGAATGTGCTTGGTGTGTGCACGCAAGAAATGAATTTTCCGTATGTATTGACCGGTAGGGAAGGTTCTGCGGCTGACAGTAGGGTTTTACGAGACCGTTCACCGATGAGGAGGCCTTCGTGTACCCTCTGGTTAGTGTAACATAAAGACATGTAAATATGCAAATGATTCGTACTTGTGTACTGTTGTTGATAATAACATTTTTGTACAATAATCTAAATTTATTTTACTTTCAATATACAGGGAACTATTACCTCTGCGATGGCTTCTACACAAATGGACCAGGTTTCTTGGCTCCGTATAGGGGCGTGCGGTATCATTTGGATGAGTTCGGTGAAGGTAACCAACTACCAAGAAACCATAGAGAGTTGTTTAACTTAAGACATGCGAGAGCACGAAATGTAATTGAGAGAGCTTTTGGAGTGTTGAAGATGCGATGGGCTGTTCTTAGGAGCAAAACTTATTTCGACATAGACACTCAAAACAAAATTATTCTTGCATGTTGCATTCTTCAGAACTTCATCCGTGCTACCATGCATGAGGACCCAATGGAAAATGAGGGGGACAACATGATGAATCGACAACTAAACCCCGAGGCCCATGACCCCTTCGACTATGTTGACGTTGTTGAGCCAACCAACGAGTGGACAAATATGCAGGATGCTTTGGCTATGTCAATGTTCAATGAATGGGATGGGCGAAGTTGAATAAAGAAGCAACCAGTGTTTGCAATCGAAACTGAATTCTGCTTAATTGT